AAGGGAATGAGTTTCTACTTAACTACAACCATCTAGAATTTCCAGTGCAACATTCCAGCTCAGCTTTAAATAAAAAGCCTGTCCACAACCATTTGAGTCAAGAGACAAATAAACTGTCTGGACAAGCTGGTAATCAGGGAGAAAAGATATTTTCTTCTCGCTCAGCTAGAAATAGAAGCAAATATGAGGAGGGTTAAGGTTCTGACCTGCATAAAAAATGACTAGCTCCTCTCTCATTGCAATATGGAGGGAAAAAAAAAAAAACAAATACTCCTTGCCTTGGCAAGGGGCCGCTGTGGAAGATAAGTGTGGAGATGGGTTTGCCAAACTAGAACAGGTAATGAGAGAAAACCAGCATGTGTGTGAACATGTGCAGGTATACATGCGTGCACAACGAGGAGTTGATCGGAATGTTTGGTGGATGCCGTGTGTCTACTAAGTTCCTACCAATGTAAAATCTTAGATGCAGGAGCTGAGGCCCCAACTCTTATGAGACATTTTAGGTCCTTTGCTACAAAGTCAATGCCTTCCCTGGACCAAAGCAAAGTTTTCAGAAGGAACACCATCCTGCACCCAAACACAGAGCCCTTATCCCTCTCAAAGACAGATACAGTTCCAATAATATAACCACCCCCCTTGAATATCTTTCCTCCCCACCGCTCTAGGTCTCTAGAGAGCACCGTAAGGATAGCTGGGGCCACAGGTGGATTGTAGGGACTAGCCCTTGTCAATCTAGGGGTTACAACTTATGGTTCCCTTTGAATTACAGAGCTGTATTCAACTGCTTGTTGAAAAAATTAACTTAGACTTCATTGTCAAGGTGTAAGGTAGACAGAAGAAAGATTTTCCCATCTTTTTAAAGACAAAGCATTATGTAAGTAACACCTTGCACTTGTCTGCAAAGCATGACAGCAGTTTCCTAGAGTGAGCAGGTGAACTAATCCCCAGCTACATCCTTCTCAAATCTATGAAAATTTCTCAAGCAGCTAGAAGCAAATTTCAACAGTAGAAAATTGGAGATTTTTCAAAAGCAAAAATACTGACTCCTTATATTCTGCTGAATTAACTGAACATCACTTCTCCAACTTCAGAAGTTATGCTTATTGATAAAGTGTTATGTGTGTTACTACAGGGACACAGCCACATCAGTGTTTATAGCAGCACAATTCACAATTGCTAAACTGTGGAACCAACCTAGATGCCCTTCAATAGATGAATGAATTAAAAAATGGGACATATATACACAATGGAATATTACTCACCAATAAAAGAGAATAAAATCATGGCATTTGCAGGTAAGTGGATAGAGTTAGAGAAGATAATGCTAAGTGAAGTTAGCCAATCCCAAATAACCAAATGCCAAATGTTTTCTCTGATATAAGAAGGCTGATTCATAGTGGGATAGGGAGAGGGAGCATGGGAGGACTAGATGAACTCTAGATAGGGCAGAAGGGTTGGAGGGGAAGGGAGGGGTCATGGGGTTATTAATGATGGTGGAATGTGATGATCATTATTATCCAAAGTACATGTATGAAGATATGAATTGGTATGAATATCTATGTATACAACCAGAGATGTGAAAATTGTGCTCTAGATGTATAATTTCAATAAGAATTGTAATGCATTCTGCTGTCATATATAAATTTAATTTTTTAAAAAAATACTATATGTATAACACATACTAGAACTCAAGGTTTACAGCTCAGAGTTGCTGCCTTCTACTCTTGGGGAGAGCAGTGCAGGTACACAGTAGAAAGGAAAGGGTCTGGTTTAGAAGTCTTCTATCCACCATCCATGTCACCCACAGAGATAAAGATTTTTATGAAGGCAAACTTCGTATAGTAAACTTCGTATATTATAATAATATATAATATAGTATATAATATTATAAACTTTGAAGCCTAGAGCAAGTAAATCTATGGCCAAATTCAGTGAACTGGAGACCAAGACAACTCCCTCAGCAAACCATGATACATCTTCTAGGAACATCCATAAAGCTGGGAAATGACTTCTTAAGAATTAGTGAGCATCTCTACGTGGAGCCCTGTACCATCAACTAGGAGACATTTGCAAATCTCCTCAATAATCCCCATTGCCCAGACACCAGCCTGTCACTTCCCGGCTCTGCCCAGACTCCACAGGTGAGATCTAAAAAAGGGGTGCAGCACTAATAGCTCCTCGTCACTGTAGCAGGTTCCAGTCCCGAAGGCAGAGAGAGAAGGGCCTGCTTTTATTAAACCTTGAAAATTAGATACCGAGCTTAAATGCTCTCCCTTCACTACAGACCGGTTTACTCACTCACTCTGTAGAGAGATGGGTCTTGGAGCAATGGGAACTGATCATGTACCCAAAGAAGAGAGGCCAGAGGTTACCAGGCTATCAAGGTCCTAGCTCGTTCATTAGAGGCTACCTGTACAGGTAAACAATCCCTCATCTGAAACCTTATGGTCAGAAGAATGTCAGAATTCAGATTTTGTTTTTAATTTTTAGAAAGCCAATATAGTAACATTCCCAGCAGGGCCTGGGGAAGCATCCTATAGACTCATTTTTTTGTACCAATCTTCAATTGGGTCAATAAAATTAGATATAGGATAAAATCTGAAGTTTTCAAGGATGGGAGATTTGGCACCATCTGTTTCACTTTCCTCCAAAAGATTTCTAAACCCAGCCATTCAGAGGCAAGAACCCTCAGCAGGAAATAAACAATGCAACTGCCAAAACCCCAGCCAACATTCCCCAACTCAGGGGGCCCATGGGACAGATCAGCTGAGATCCAAAGAGGTTCATTGAGAGAATTCCTGACACAGTAAATGCTTCTAAGCTGAGCTTCCCTAGCCACAGAACCTGGAAAGAAAATGATTCCACAACATTCTCCATAATGGGAGAATCAGAGTTTCCAAGACCCCAAGACTTTTCCGAGGTGGAGGCAAATAGTATATCCTATCAGACCACAGAGGGACCAGACCACAGTAGCAGACCCTATATTTCAGAGCCTTGATAACCTGTGACTCATAACTCTACAGGGTGCCAAGCAAATCATGCTGTGATCTTTCCACCATTGAGAAGCAGAAAGAACACCTCCTAGCTATCATCTCTGTCTACTTAAACACCAACATGCCTGAAGCTTTGCCTCCTACCCTGTTGTCTTCTCACTCTATGATGTTCCCTGGATCACTGAACCTACAAGCTTTATGCCCTTGATGCTCACATCTCAATCATTAGTTTTCTCTGTTACCCATCACCAACTTTTTTTTTTTTAAGGTACTAGGGATCAAACCCAATGGTGCTGTACCACTAAGATACATCTCCAATCCCTTTTTAAAAAAATTTTTTTAGATTTGAGAACGGTCTTTTTTTTCTTAATTTTTAAAATTTATTTTAGTTATAGTTGACAGTAGAACACATTTAAGCTCTGATATATCATACATAGATGGGATATAATTTCTCATTTTCAGAGTGTACATGTTGCATACTCAGAATCGTATTGGTCATGCAGTCACATAGTAGAAAGAAACAGACATTATTTATCTAACTTTCCTCTTCCCACATCTCCTCCCCTCCCCTCCCCTCCCATTACTTCCCTTCATACATTTGTCACAATAAAACCCAGAATCAACTATCACATTTTGATTTGCATGTGTGGCCCAACATGTGTGCACCTCTTTTTGTCTCCCTGTATTCTCAGCGCTTTGCAAATAACCAACACCTAATATGTCTGATGCACTGAAGGAAAAATCAGAGCCTTTTCACTAGGTGACAAGAAAACTCCAAGTCAGGGTTTCCCTCTGCACCACAGTGTTCTCAGCATTGTGCAAGGTTCTGCAATTGGGGATGGCAAGAAAAGTAAAAGATACTCTCCTTCTCCTTTATTGCTTTTATCTTTAGATTCTCTGCATCTTATTATCTCCCATCCTTATGAAAGGACAGCTCCTAGTCAAAAAGCATATGGTCTTTTCAGGAACTATCAGATAAAACACCTCTCAGATCAAAGAGGAGATTTTTAGTGAGAGATTATAGCAGCACTCTTTCCTGGCCCCTTTGAGCCTGCTCCCCAGTTACGATTCATGACCTGGCATCCTGGAATCATGCAGCTGTGTATGGGCTATTTTTGATGTGCAAGAGTCCACCGAAAACTAAAAACTATTAAAAAATTCAAAAAAGAAAAAAAAAAGAAAAAGAGTTACATCTAAAGAATCACTGGCTCCTCAAGAACCCAGATGTAGAGATGACAAGCTGGATATCCTGTAAAAATCACATCACCAGAATTTGACAAAGCTTCCCCAAACCTCCCAACACAACACCATGCTACTGGTCAGAGAAAAAGAACAGGGAATCTTTTCTTTTAAACCATCATGAATTGGTTATAGTAAAGTTTATTGAGAATACTTCAATTCTCTTAAGGACATTGTGTATCTCTTAGTTCCAAGTCCAAAGGAAATGGTGACCATAAATAAATAATGGTAAGTTATGACTGTAGTCTTTTAACAACTCCCACATACTAGCAATTGACCTATTGGAGGTGTGGCTTTGCTATGGATAATGAGACAATCCACAGAATGCACATGAAACGTAAGCTTGGCCACTAGTGTTCAGACAAAAGCATCTACCAAGATAGAGATACACAAACTCAAGGACCATACTCACAGCTTCAGGAGAGCAGAGTGGGACTTCTAGGACACGTTTCTCTAGGACATTCAGAGCAGTAAGTGAAGCAAGGTTAGATTTTACTGTATACCGAGACTTAGATTTAGTAGGAAAGAAAAAAAATTAATTGAAAAAGTTGGGGCAGTACAGTTTGATGTCAAGTATCCCATGTGGTAGATATGAAGTATATCAAAAATAGAAAACAGTCATATCTAAACATGGGAAATTATTCCTGATACCTTTCACATACCATGAATGTAACGACAAATAACTCCCAAATCCTATTCATGCTATCAACTGCATACACAGAAAACAAGAAATTGGCCGAACACAGCACTCACTCTCTGGCAACTTACCTTGTATGAAGATCCTATCCCAGTAGGTTTTCCCAACTTGATTGCCCCCAAGAAACACCAGGTTGAACAGGATCAGCATTGAGGTGGCACAAGACGCAAGGGCAGCATGCAGTCGACGGCGAGCTTGTGGGGAGAGGTGTCGAGCCTACGAGGACAACGACAAGAAGGCACCTCATCATATGGGTGCAAGAAATATGGCTAAGACACCACCCTCTTAACACCATCCCAGGATGCCAGGTTGTTATTGAAACAGATATTAAAACTTCTATCCTTGCAATATTCTGGTCTTACGAAAGAAGGTGATGTATCATTAATGTTCCTTTGTCCTCCCATAATGGACTTCTTCTGACCCATATAATACATGCGTGGAATCTAGTTGTGTTAGTTTTCATCACTGTGACCAAATACATGACAAAAACAATTTAGGGCAACAAGTATTTATTTTAGCTCATGGTTTCAAAGGATTAAAGCTATGGTTGGCTGGATCCAAGGCATAAACATCATGGTGGAGGAAAGTTGCTTAGCTCAAGGCATAAGTGAAATTAGGGGGGTGTTCAGGGACAGATACAGTCCCCAGGGTCATGGCCCCAGTGACTGATTTGCTCCAGTCATGCTCTACCTGCCTACAGTTTTTACCACTTCTTAGTTCATTCATTATTGCTTCATCATCAAATGGATTAATCCACTGATGAGGTCAAGTCCTCAAAATTCAATCACTTTACCTCTGGATGTTACTGTATTGCTTAATACACAACTTTGGAGAGGCATTCCAAATTCAAACCACAGCTCTAGTTAAGACTCAGTAGCACCTCCTCCTGTCATTGAAACATCTTCATGTCTTCTGCATATAAGCCTGTAGGTGCTCTCCACAAGGACTAATATAAGTAGGTTCATGTCAAGATCAGTGTGATCAGAACTCAAGGTCAGAGTGATCTCGACTCTGGGAAGCCAGCCACCCACCCTGTAAACCTGATATATTATTAGGAGGAATCCCAAAACAAAGGTGCAGGAGAATCGATATGAGACAACTCCCCTGTGGAATCAAGCACAGAACATAATGTTCCACTGAGATCACACAACACCATCTAACATGGTGGCTGATCACAGTGCCTGAAGTATTCAAGGCTTAGGGAATGCTTTCCAGCAATCATGATAACAATTCCCCACATCCTTCCCAGCTCTTCATTGTACTCCCTCTGCTATTCATCTTTCCTCAGAGATTTCATAAAGCAAACAAAGACTTTATTCCTTATCACTGACTATTCTGGTGGCCTCTCCAGCGTGAGGTCACTGTGCTGTGTGGAGCACGCGAGTCCCATCAGCACAACTGTGCCTCTGTATTTTCAGAATGAAAATCAGATATAGCACCACAGCCATGTACACAGGGCCCCAGAGTTTCTAACAAATACCTTAGCTTAACACAACACAGAAAAGAGAACCAAATGTCACAAGATATTTCCTGAATATCCTCCAGAAACCTCTACATGCATCTTAACCTCAACTATGCTATAATTACAAACAGAATTCTGGCCAACACAATGGCAGCAGTGTATGCAATACATGACAGCAAAAAGGACTCCCCTAGAAGGCGAGTCTCCAGCAGGAAGTTCACGAATTTCAGGCAACACCACCACAGGTCACCTGTATCCATACTGTACTTTGGTCAGAGTCCTCTCAATCTAGAGAAACAAATTCCTGACCCTTCCTTTTTCTCTCCTGTGAGCCTCAGGGTTGACCGTGTATGCTCAGATCTAGCTGTTACCATGTATGTCCCCGCAGGGTTCTCTCTTCCAACACCACTTTAGAGCATACTTATGGGCACAACATGTTTTCTTTACATGAAAAAAAAAAAAAACGTGTAGCAGACCTAGCTGTCTGCCTGGACATGATGTACAAAGCTCTCCAGTGCAGTGGCCATGTCTTGCTTGGAGACTCCAGACCAGCCAACCCCTATTGACTCTGTCTGCTCTAAGAGGCCATGAATGTGGACCAGAGATTAGATAAGAGATAAGTACATGATGTACAAATTTGAAATGAGTGAAGGGGAAAGTTACCAGCTTACTATCAGTGATCTTCACCTCTCAGAATAAAGAGACATTAATCTACCAGTTTGTGTATTTTAAAACAGGAAGAGTTTTTGAGGATTACTGAATCAATTAGCAGTAATGAGAAGGTGAGAAGTAGTCAGGGGAAAAAAGAATCCAAAATAATAAATCAAGAAAGCATGACTATCTTAATTGGCATAGTATATCCAAATAATTCCCTCCAGGTACAGGGGCCAAAGATAACACATTTTATTTCTCAGGGACCCAGTGAATCAAAAGTGACCCTCTGTTTTCACCCAGGCAGTCTCCTCCAAACTTGTTGCCCTTGAAGGAGAATTCAAGGGCCCTGCATTATCTTTCCTTTATTAATGTCAACTTCAGAGAGTGGTCATAGTGTGGTTAATCTCAAAGTGGTTCTCCTTTTATACAGAAGGATAATAATTGAAAAAAGAATCAACAGGTACTAAGAGAGAGGGACTGTCTTCCAAGGGGTTGCTAAGCAAGACTATGTGCTGAGGGGCCTGCCCTTCCAGCATCCACTGTGGGGAGCTTGAGGGCATGGAGAAACCCCTCCAGAGACGGTTTCAGAGAATAGCGTGTGCTTTACTGTGTATTGAAAATGGCTTTTATGGTGGGTATGGGCCAATTTACACTTAACAGTCATAATAGGCCAGAGGTGATATACAACACTTCATCCTACGGAAGTCCAGACATCAAGAGTTCAGAAACTGCCACATAGGCTGACCTTGCACCAACAGAGGAATAACTTCTTGTCAAGGGAGCAAAGAAATTGCGCTTGCCAGCGTCATGACAGCACTCTGTCCCCAAAACATTAGGACTTCTCTGCTGCACAATGAGCAAAATAAGCATGAGGGTCCAAGGTTAGGCTCTATAACAACTGTGGTGTTGTTACCTGGTACAGGGAGAGAGCCCACACTGAGGGGTGGGGCAAGGGAGAATGAGCATGAGCGGGCTCACCTGAAGCCCACGGTTTTACAGATCTTCCCCGGATTCTGTGATTACCCCAGTCTCTCACCTACATGATTCAATGCATTTCTGGTTTTGCTTAGGAAATAAAAAGTCAAAATAATAGCAACTGTGAAGGAGCCTCTCTGATCTCGGTAACAAGGTGGGGTAGCTCTAAACTCTGAAATGACTAACAACAATTCAATTTTTAGACCTGGCTTTTTCTTTTTGTTGTTTCAGTGAGCAGCATTATTAAAGGCATGGCTTGTTAGAATCAGTAAACTGCAAGTATGCAAAAGAGAAGGCACAATGCTTATAGGCAATCCTTGATTATCCCCCAGGGAGAGTGGGTGGGAGACAAAATAGACGATGATCAAGAAAAATCCCCAAACCTAATTTTAACTAATAGCAGCAGCTCTGAGAAAACTAGCTGTGCCCATCAGCAGCAGAATCCAGAGAGCATTGCCTCTTTTCATTGTGAATCAGTGGAAGAAAGTCATGACAGGCTACGAAGGAAAAAGAGGCTTTATCTGAAAATCCACAGAAGAGTAATTCAGCAGTGTCCCCTTCTCCACAGGGATGTGTGTTCCGAGATGGACTATGAACGCCTGCAACTGTAAATAGTACCAAACCCCATATATACTAGTTTTTCTTTTTCTTTCTGTGCCTATTTCCTATGAGAGGCACAGTTAGAGATTAATGACAATAGAGCGATTAATACACTGTAATGAAAGTCATGTGAATGTGGTCTGTCATCAAAATACCTTAATGTACTATATTCACTCTTTTGATGATGATGAGGTGAGATCCTCATATTTCTGAGGAGAGGAAAGTGAGGTGAAGGATGTCGGCACCATGACATAGCATTAGCTTACTACAAAAGGGTTTCTTGAACACAAACACCAGCAGTCTGGTACCTAGAGGGCTACCAAGTGACCACCTGGTGGGTAGCTACATGCTCACATGCTCGACAAAGGGATGATTCATGGTCCAGGTGGGAGAGAATGGCTCAAGAGTTTATCAAACCTACACAGGACTGTGAGAAATCTGCAACTTTGAGTTGTTCATTTCTGGAATTTTCAGATTGCAGTTGGCTACAGGTAACAAACTGGAAAGGTGAACTGTAGATAAGAGGAAACTATCATAATAACTATCCAAAGTAGAGAGATCCCTGTCACTTTCAGTAGTGTGTTTGGAGAATCCAAAGAGGACAGACATTGGCAGCCGAGACTTATATCCCTTTACTTTGGAGCCAAGGTCTTAGCCATTGACTTATAGGAACTCTGGGGGAAGTATCATACTGAGGTGTTTCCAGAAGAAAAATGCCATATGAGCAAGGCCAGAGGGTGTACTCCCCTGAACCAGCTAACTCCAACAATAAATATGACTTTCTAAATTCCCCACTTTGTTTCTTTTGAACCTGCTCTCCCGCAGTCTGGCTCGGCACAAAATAACCGAGCCACCACACAAGCCTTGTAGATTCCAACAGCAACTCTTTATTCCCGAACTCTCACCGGCACTCTACACGCAGGCACGTTCTGGGGAAAATACACACCCACCGGGCTCTGCGTACCAAATACCCTCTGAATCCCACGAGAACTCAACAGGAACTCAAGGAGCAGGTGCCTGAGGCACCAGGATACGCCCTATTCCCAGGAGGATCCACCCTAAACCTGGAGCAGCCCTAATCCCTGAGCAAGGTCACCTTTCAAACCCAAACTCTCAAGCATTCATGCAATGTCACTCCAAATGACCTGGGTCCAAGGCAAGCCCATTTCCACAATGGAGAGTCCTCCCTCTAAGCAACATTGGGTAGGCTGTCAAGGAAATTGCCATGCGTCATTCCTACTTGGCTATGGCTCTCAGCACTGCTCCTCTGAAGTCCTGTAGCTATTACTCCCGTGTCCCTTCACATCTAGGATGCAGGCTGCTATGAGTGGGAGCCATGCCTCATAGGTCAGCCATCCATTTTCCTAGCTCAGATGCTTGAAAATGCCCTTGAGAAGAGAATTCGTGTGGAGGAAATGTAAAGTAAATAGGAAATACCACAGTACAATGAAGAGCCATGAGGTATGAAAATGAGAATTGCCAACATGATCAGATAAGGCCATGTCTGACAAACAGACCTTGAATC